CCGCCGGCGCCACCTGAAGCCCAATCACCTCTCGCCCCCCTCCCAATCCCAGCACCTAGCCAACAGCCAACAGCCCCGTAGAAGTGACACCTCAATCAATTCATGCCCCTTCCTATATAACCCAGCACCTTTCCCTAATAAAGCTAAATTCTCCGGTGAATTGCTGCTGTGTCGCTCCTTTCCTTTCAAGGGAGGAGTCGTGTCTGGTAATATGTCTGGAGGCTCTTTCCCACAGAGGAGCAGCAGGTGCAAAGGCACAGAGGTGCAAAGAAACCTGGCCACCAGGCTAGAGGAAGGCAGTTTGCGGAGGAAGCGCCCCCGGGGATCCCGTGCAAGCTGCTGACTGTCAGGGAAAGAGCGACCACCGAGACGCACCGACTTCCCAGCGTCCTAGAGAGGAAACGGAAGGGGCCCTTTACTTACGCACCTGTTTGACAGCGTCCGCGGCCCACTTCCGGTCGGCGGAGGCTCGGGCCATCCCGGTGCGGTTGCGGTGCCCCGACTGAGAACCGCTTTTGGGCCGCGGGGGCGGCGAGGCGAGGCGAGGCGGCCGGGCGGGGGCCGGGGCGGTACTGCAGCGGCGGGCCTCGGCAGCGGCGGGGCTGACTCTGCGGGCGGCGCGTCTCCCGGAGCCGCTTCCCGCGGCACCGAGGCCTCGCGCGTCGTGAGCGGGGGGGGGCCGCACCTCGGGAGGCTCAGGTAGGGGCCAGGCTGCTCCCGCCCGGCCAGGGTTGCCCTAACGCGGGGTGTTAATGAACCCGAGACCTTGAACCAACGCTAACTCTCTGAAAAAGAAAAGTAATTTAAAACAAGGACGTGGGACACTCACTTCCGGAATAGCTATGGGACGCCTTCTGATTCTGAAGTGCCAGGGATAAAAGATGAACGTGGACCTTTCTTGCCTTCAGGAAATCTGGTAGATGGAGAGAGTTGGTAAACATTTGCGCTGTGGTGCGGTAAATTCAAGAGTGGAGTGAATAAATACAGTAGCTAGAAAGTCATGAAAGATTAATGTCAATTGATGGAGCAGAGAAAATGAATCGAATGGTGATGTAAAATAGGTTTAAGAAGGGTAAGTAAATGCACATAATACCCAATAGAATATTAAGCAGAAGTTTATGATGTGCCTCGTGCCGACAATGTCATTTTCTATTCCCTTGAGAGTGATCTTACCCTCCTCGAAACGCCAAGCAAGCCCCTTCCCACTTTGGGCTTCCAGGTCTGTCTCCCCAGCCTAGGCAACCCCCGAGCTTTGGAATTAAATAGTGTTCATCCTCCCGTCTAGTGCACGTCTCTTACTTCTCATGAGTACTTGAATATACATTAATCTTTCTCTTTTTGACTCCCCATGTTTTCATATTATACCATGTCTTTTGGGAAGCTGACCCTGGCCGTCTCTCTACCTCTTTTATGTTTAGTTTCTTCATTTGAAAAGTGGGGCTTGGAAGGGAGTAGTACTCACCACACAGTTCGTTGTTAAGAATTAAATGAGGGTATGAGTTCACATACTTTCTAAATGGTAAAGCCAACACAAGTTAGCAATGTTTTGATCAGTTATAAAAATGGTATTTTTGTTGCTGTTTTCTTTAGGCTGAGCACATGCTGTCAAATTTAAGCCACCAGCACATCTAGTGGTTTTACTTCCAAAATATGTCTTGACTTCGTCTGTTTCTTTGCCATTACTCTGATCATCTCCTGCTTGGACCACTGTAAGTGCTGCCTCCCTTCTTGTCCCCTCTAATCTGTTCTCTGTTGACACACCACAGCAAAATGGAAAACAAGTAAGCTTTTATGTACAAAAACTTTGTGAAACATGTAGCTCCCCACTAAAATCAGAAATAAGAGTAAAGCCCATAATTTTTACTGTGGCCCAGGCCCTGGATAAGGTGGTCCTAAGGCTGTCTCTGCCATCTCTTCCTAGCGGCTCTGCCCCTCATTCACTCTGCTGAGGCCATTCTGTACTGGGGCCTGTTCTTGGACATGCGGAATAATTTTTAGCCTCAAGGCCTTTGCCTGGAACGCTCTTTGAATGATTGGCTCATTCTCATCCTTTGGGTCTCAGCCGAAGTCTCACCTCTTCAAGTTGTTCGTCCCCCATTAACAGAGCACACTACGTATTTTCTTTATAGAACTTATCCCCATTTATACTTTTTATTTATTTGCTTACATTTGTCTTTTTCTGTCTGTTGCACTATTGTTGTATTTCTAGTTTCTGCAGGCCTGACATATGTTTGTATTGGATGTATATCTCTTTTAGTGTTGGAATTCTGGGTCCCAGTGACTGCCTAATTATAACTCATCTTACATTGTTCTCTCATTATAGTGTTATCTCCCTAATGAGATCCTGAAGTATTTGTGGGTATGACCTAAACCCTATACACTGTGTATTTGCTCTCTGAACTTGTAGGTGGTTATTAGCAAATACAGGCATACCTCAGATGTAATGCTGATTTGGTTCCAGACTATTGTAATAAACAATAAAACAGTATCAATAAAGCTAGTCAAATGAATTTTTTGGATTCTTAGTGCATGTAAAAGTTATGCTTATGCTATACTGTAATCTGTTAAGTGTACACTAGTGTTATGTGTGAAAAAACCCATGTGCATACCTTAATTAAAAAATACTTTATTGCTAAAAAATGTTAATGATCATCTGGGCTTCCAGTGAGTTATAATCAGTGGTCACAGATTCCCCATAATAAATACAGTGATAATGAAAAGTTGAAAATATTGCAAACGAATTATCAAAATGTGACAGTAAGTGAGCAAATACTAGTGGGAAAATTTTGCTGATAGACTTTCTTGATGCAGGGTTGCCACAAACCTTCAATTTGTAAAAAGCTCAATAAAGCAGAGTACAATAAAATGAGATATGCCTGTACTTAATTGAATTGACTTGATTTTCAGGATATCTCTTAATGAAAATGCCTCCACGAATGTAATTGCCATGTTTTCCAGCAGAAGATTCATGATGCAGAGAAGAACTGGGATGGACTGACCTTCCTGTGCCTTATTTATGCTGCCGCCATTGTCTGGTCTTCCCCACAGACCCTCAGTCTTCTGGGAGGGAGTGTGAAGATGCTCAAAGAGCATCCAGGGATGGCAGAAGATCCTCAGCAGCAGGGTGTTCCTGTGGTGAAACTGGAGAAAGAGATGCCATGGGGCTGGGGAAGGGAGGACCCTAGTCCTGAGACTTTTCGGCTGAGGTTTCGGCAGTTCCGCTACCAGGAGGCAGCTGGCCCCCAGGAAGCCCTCAGGGAGCTCCAGGAGCTCTGTCGCCAGTGGCTGAGGCCTGAGCTGCACACCAAGGAGCAGATCCTGGAGCTGCTGGTGCTGGAGCAGTTCCTGACCATCCTGCCTCGGGAATTCTACACCTGGATTCGGGAGCACGGCCCAGACAGTGGCAAGGCCCTGGTAGCCATGGTTGAGGACTTCACCGAGAAAGCATTGGAGGCCAAGGCGGTGGGTGAGAAGGGGGTGTCTGGTTCTTGATTTGGTGTGGGAAGGGGGCATATAAAGAATTGGGAGGTTTGAAGAAGCAGTGGGAGTGGATGAGGTGTACAGTTTTCCGCCTCTGCTCCCAGACTCCCTGAAGTCCTTTTTGGAGGATAGTGAAGTTTTCAGCAAGGAAACCATCCGCAGAGAAGATGTGGGGCCTGTGGAAAGGCTATTAGCTTCTTTTTTGGTTGTTAGGGCAGAGGGCTGGCTGTATTTCCCTTGTGAGCCTCGGTCCCAAAGAGGATAGTTGTGACCAATCTCCAGGTCCCCATAGGGCCTGTCCTTTCTGGGCAGAGAGACATGTGGGGATGCAGAGGTCAGTGTTCTTACTGAGAAGAGCTGTCTGTAACTGTGCTGTTGCCATGTCTGGGACGTCAGCTCACATGGCCCACATGGTGATTCTGTGGTGCTGTTCTAGTGACACCAAGTAGTTTTTACCTCAGGGGCTTCCTTGGGACTTTGGCCATGTGTCAGTCAGTCTGGTACAGTGACCTGATTGTTGGCCGGGAAAGGAGAGTAGGACTGAGTGTTACTGTTTCACTTACACTAACACTCTTCCTCCCTTTTCCCATGGCAGTTACCCCTAGTTCCTGTGCAGTCCTAAGAGAGTTGTTTTGTTTTTCTTTTATTCACAACTCAGGAGTTTAAAAGCAGACCAGGAAGGGCCTCTTTTATGAGGGTCTCATGGGAGTCCTGATTTTCCTTGGAATTTTTAGAGCAACTTTTCCTCACCAGCTGATCTGCTGCAGTGTCTAGGCTTTGTTTTTTCACTTAATGGCATTTGTACGTGGAGAATTTTTTTTTCTAGTGAAGAGCATTTCAGGCTAAATTTTCCAAGAGAACCATATTTGGGCTCACTGTGATGTTATTCAGAGTGGAATTCGATCAGTTCCAAGGCAGGGACCCTTGTAAAGTGGCATGGATGCATCAGAGTTGCTCCAAGCCTGGTAAAAGGAGGCCAGCATCCTTTTTGCCTTCTCACTGATGTCCTGAGGAAGAGCTGAGCTGGCTTTCCTTCCCCCTCGCCTGCAGCTGGAATGGTTCTTTTCTTGGCTCTCTTTTTAGGTTTTAATTCAACTCTCTTCATAACAGCCTTCCCCTGGCCTCATTCTGATAGGTGTTGGGGACTGTTCTTAGGTTCCGTGCCACGTGCAGAGAGAGCAGGAGGAGACGGCACTTTGCCGAGGCCCTTGGGGGTCAAGTGTCCACCTGGGACCAGTAGAGGTCAAGCCTGAATGGGGGATGCCTCATGGAGAAGGAGCTCAAAGCCTAGATCAAGGCACCGAGGAGCAGCTCACTCAGGACCCTGGTGCTGGGATGCAGGCCTTCCAGGAGCAGGGTAAGATGCAGCTGTAAAGAAGTAAAGGCACAGAAGGTGGTGCTTTGTGCCCACCCTTCTCTTTCCCTTTACAAACCCAGCACTTGATAAACTAAGTTAGCCGTGAGGTGTAATTCCGAGTTTTTCTGGCTGCTTCCTTGAAAGTAGGAAACAGACAAAGTGGAATTGTTCTCTATACTGGCTCTCGAACTCTGCAGGGGATATGTTGGACCATGTTCTCTTATCATTTCTTTTCCTTTTCCTTGCATTCCTTCTAGAAACCACCAGGAGAAATGCAGCTGACATGTGGGGTTGTTTCTTCAGTGGGCAAACAAGCCATATCCCTTAAAGTAATATGTGACTTTATTGTGTAACTGAATCTCAAAGGGGCTGGTTCCTAGGGTGTGACCAGGGAGCATGAATAGACCTCAGAGATAGGCGCCATCTTCTCAGCTGAGAGCAGCGTGGGTACCCCAAGTTCCTGCCTCTGTGGAGTCTCCTTATGGTTGCTGGGGTTCTTTGTCAGGTAGTGGACACATGAGCAAATTAACTGCAAGACAGTTCTCACCCTTCTCGTGCTTTGTTCTCCTGCTCAGCTCTACCAGTTCTTCAGGCTGGGCCTGGCTTCCTCACGGTACATGCCAGAGACCAAGAGATCACAGCTGGATTCCTCACAGCTGGATCCCAGGTGAGCTGTGCCCCTGCTCTTCCTGTCCTTCCGGGCACCATGATGTTGCTTTGAATGAGGATTACCCCGAGGTTTCTTTGCACAGCAGAGTGCCGCCTGCAGGGGTGAATTACTCTACCTTTCTTGTCCTGATAGATACAGCAGCTTCATTTTTTCCACGTTACTATGCTCAGTTGTTAATTTGAGTTGAGCCTTAAGGCTTAGGGCCCAGGCATAAGGTTTAATTCATTTGTTTGTATTGCTCTATGACTTTTCTTTCATAGACTCAGTATTACTGTTTTCATTGTGAAGGGGAAGACATTACTGATGGAAACCTTGTAGGTCTGGTCCAGGCTGTGGTCAGTCAGGGGACTGGTAACCGTTGTGGAAAGCCTCTGTGGATGCTTCTGCTGCTCTCTTCCTCTGCATTCTCCCCTGCCCCCATGTTGGCAGGAATGTAGCTGGCCCCCAGGGGTGCTGAGTGGAGTGGTGTCCCTGGTCCCTACTCTGGCCACACCAGGAGTTTTGGCTTTGTTTGCACTTTCAGCCTTCCACGCATGGGGTGACTAGGGCACAGGTGGGCACTCTTGCCCCATCCCTGGGATGCCACGTGTCACAGGGAGGTGGGGGATTTCCAGTGTGGCTCTTCTGAAGGGGACAACAAGTCTTTGAGTGAAGAGTGCCTCACAGTAAGAAAGATGATATTTGGCAGGAAAACGGTTGAGTCCGGTCTGATCCAGCTAGAGTGGCTTTGGCAAGGTGGAAGGCCTGTGTGATTTCCTATTGCTATTTTCCTATTTCCTATTCATGGCTTGGAGGACATGAAGAATGACAGCAGTATGTTTTAACTTGGTCAGACCCTCTCTTGCCTTGATAGTTCTTCATGGTGTTGTGGATGACAACACATTTATTTTAACATGACATTGTTCTCAAGACAGGGATTGCCCGAATGTTCGTGTACCTCAGGGCCAGGGCTGGGGAATCAGTTCTAGATGAGAGGATAAATAGCTCCCAGGTGTGATCAAGCTTGAGGATTGAGTGGAGGGGGCTGAAAAGTGGCAACTGGGTGCTGTGGTCATTAGGCTGAGCAGCTGTAGGCAGAGTCACAAATGCAGTGGCTCAAACAAGTTCATGACTTCTCTGCCAGAAAGCTGCTGAGAGGTGTTACTTCTGCTCCCAAGGCCATTGAGGGACCTGGCTTCTTCCATCCTCCTGCTTTCTTTTCCCCTGGAGCGCTGTCCGCTGTGGTCTGTCCTGCTTTAGATAGCTTCTACTTTGGATGATTTCTTACCCATCGCAATCTCCTGTTGTTTCAGGGGTTGGGGCCATTTAAAGATATGGCTTTGGCTTTTCCTGAAGAGGAGTGGAGGCACATGACTCCAGCCCAGATAGACTGCTTTGGGGAATATGTGGAACCCCAGGACTGTGGAGTCTCACCTCCAGGTAAGCCTTTTTCCATCCCACAGGTAAAAAATAGGAGTTTTGAAAGCTGTAGGTCAGGGTTCTTGCCTTTGCCCCAGATTTGAGAACCTGGTGCTCCTGACAAAAGAAGGGATTCTATGGCTGATAACTGAACAAGTCTAAGGGAAGAGTATGGATCAAGGGTGTAAGAAACTGGCCAGGTGCTTTCCTGTGTCAGGAGGAGTGGACAAGGGGGCAGGAAGGAATGAGGTGGTTATTTTGGTGATGGCACTGGTCTGTTATGGGGAATCCCTGGCACTATCTGTGTCTTTAGTTGAAGGGTGCTGAGGGCTTGAGATTGAGAGAAAAGCAGCAGAGATGGGCCCTCTGATCTCATTTGTTCAGCGGGTATTTATTGAGCACCCCTGCATACAGGCCCTAGGCAGTAGCTTTGTCTTGGGGCAGGACTAATGACTGGGAAAGCTTTGGACCACACTGTGTGTTTGTAAAGGAGGCCATGAGGACACACAGTAGGATTTTAGCAACAGAAGAGGTCAGCATGGGCCTGTGTCACAGAGCAGCCAGGCCCGTCTCAAGTGGTGGCTGGGTGTTACCTGGAGTCAGCACTGGAAGGAGGGAAGTAGAGGGTGAGGGCCCCATTGGCAAAGCCCATAGTTGGTGCTGCAGGGCCTCAGGGCCTGCCAGAGGGAAGAGCGGTGTGATGAGTCTCTGTGGGGTTGGATGGGGAGAGCAGTGAGGAGAGGAAGGTGGCTGAGCGTGGCCCTGTCCTTTGTTCCTGCTAATCATCTCCTTTTTCCTTTTGTAACTTCTTTGTAAGTTACCTACTGACCACATGTCTGTTCTGGACCCACCTGGCCTTTTTTCATCTTGAGACGTGTTGAGGTATGAGCGAGAGTGTCCTTGTACTTTCTTCAGGACCTGAGAGAACCGTCCTGGCTCCACCACTTACTGACTGTGCCCTTGAGCATATCACTTGACCATTTCAGGTCTCAGTTGCCTCAGTTGTAAGCTGGGGATATTCATAGAACATAGCCTTGTGGCATTGTGAGGATTACACAAGCTAAAAAGTCTAAACATTTGGTAACATGGAAGTGTTAGATATTTTTGTTAGGTGTATGAATATTATTAAGTGATTCTTTTATTCATCAGTCAACATTCATTTATTTATTCACCCCACAATATTTATTTGGCACTTACTGTGTGGCCAGCACTCTACTAGTTGCTATGAAGACTTAAAGGCTCTTGCCTCTACAGTGTTCACCATTCCAGTGAAGAGCCCGAGTGCCTGGGTTCATGGTCGTTATGGAGTAGTATAGGGGGCACTAGAGGACGGGTGAGGGACACCTGGCTCTGGTCAAGGTTGTCACACCATGAGGGTGATGCAAGTGGCTGAAAAATGCCAGAACACATTACAAAAAGGTGTAAGATTTCTGTGATGGTAAAGGATGTGGAAACCGTGAGAGAGAACCATGCAGTGGCGGAGTTTGTGCAACATGCCCCAGGTGTAGGTACCATCGTTCCTCGCCTTAATCCTCCTTGGAGATGTACCTCTTCTGCCAGTGACACCACTGCTTGGGGGAAGGATGCTGTCCCCCTGCCTTTCCCAAGGGTTTTTTACACCCTCCTGGTCACTTCTGACTGTTCTAGAGACTCTGGCTGTTTGCTTGTCTTCTTACTCACTTGTCGTTTCAGTACAACCCAAGCGCTTCCTTGAGCGTTTATGCTGAGGCTGGGTGAGGCAATGGCCCGTTTGCCAAGTGTACCATCCAGTAGCTGTCTTGACCTTCAGGTCTTTCTGAGATTCATTCCCAAGTAGTTGCAGCTCTTTTGTTGACAGCTGTGTAGGATTGGGCCTGCGAAATAAACTGAAATTCCAATATGTAATATCTAGCATATATTCTCATTCCCCCAGGGTCCAGTTAAGGTTCATGCGTTGCATTTAGTTTTAATTTTACTGTCTATAACACCTCAAAATTGGAAACTAGACAAATGAACATCAGTCAAGTTAAATAAATAGGTTATGATACATTCTTACAGTGTAATGCTATACACCAGTGAAAAAGAATATAATGTAACTACAGCTACATACCATGATGTGGAAGAGTCATTCAAGCATAATGTTGAGCAGAAGAAGCTAGAAACAGTATGTGAATCAAATACATAGAGTTCAAGACCAGGCAAAAGTAAGTCTGAATAGCGTGGTACCCTGGGGGCAGAACATAGTCACTGGAGGACGGGGAAAGGGATTTCTGAACGCTGGTAATGTTTCTTGGATTGGATGCTGTTAATATGGTTGTGTGCCTTATGAACAATCTTCAAGCTCTGCATTCACTTTTAAACACTTTAACCTTTGTGAAAAGTGTACCAAGCAAAAGAATATGTCAGAGGTGCTAGTTGTGTCCTTCATATCTAATCAAATCAGGAGGCATGTAATACCCATTTTTTTTGTATTGTTCAATGGCCTCGCCTGAAAGAACTCTCCATTTAAGCATTCGTCATTTCTCTCTTGGCTTCTTTGCTCCTAGTACCTCTTCTCCCCTTCCTCCTGTTCTATAAACAATTGTTCTGTTCGGGAACAGAGAAAGGACTTGTAAAAGGGCTGAGGCACTTCTGTGGCATTCACGGGCCTTGCAGTCCTAATACATCTGCTCACACAGAGGCAGTCTGGCATGGGTGACAGCTTGGTTCATTCACTAATCCCACACTCCCTAAGTATCTTCCAAGTCAGTCCCTTTGCCAGGCTCCCAGGAGACCTAGGTGGGTAGGCAGAGGGAGCAGCGTGAGCAGGGCCAGTGTGGAGAACGGAGAGCTGCACTTAGCTGGCCATTGCTGGAGTAGGTGTATAGCCATCTTGATTCATGTCAAGTAGCACTACAAGGTCCCATACAGATAAGCATGGCATAACCAAAGTGCTAAGTGAGTGCATATGTGCTGAAGAGACCCAGGGTAGGAGAGTCATGAGGACATGTTTCTTCTAGGAAATCATTGAGTTAGATTTTGAAGGAAATAAAAGTCTGAGTTATGGAAGGTTAAGTGAGAGGGCATTGCAGCTTGCCCATTGCTCTGTAAAAGGTGTGAAGGTTGTCTTAGACAGGCTGCTACAACAATACTGTAGACTGAGCTGCTTAAACAGCAACAGTGCCGGAGGCTGGGAAGTCCAAGGTCAAGGTGCCCGCGGGCAGGGTGTCTGATGAGTGCCCTCTTCCTGGCATGTAGGCTGCCACTTTCTTGCCCTGTCTTCAGATGGCAGAGAGGGGGATCTTCTTCTTTTCATAAGGATATTAATCCCATCATGAGGGTCACGCCCACATGACCTCTATGTGCAGAGAGCTCTCTCTTCCTCTTCTCATAAACGACCCTGATACCATCATGGGGGCTCTGCCCTGATGAACTCACTTATTCCTCAAAGGCCTCATTTCCTGGTAGCATCACCTGGGGGCTGAGGACTTCAACCTCTGAACTTGTAGGGGACACAGACATTCAGTTCATAGCGGAGGTGGAAAGAAGTAAAGTTTGGTTTTAGGGTCAATGAAAGAAAAATATTTTGAGATTGGTGGTCAATGGAAAAAATAAGGAATTGTTGATGGGACACCCTTAGAAGCCCAGTTGTAACATACAAGTTTATTTTCCTGGCTGCAGCAGAATCAGTCTGTATCTCCTTTGTCCTGTAGGCACTGGGAGCAAGGAAAAGGATGCTAAAGCCCAGCAGTCAGACCTCAAGGGGGCGCTTGCTCGGGTGCCCTCAGAGAGGTTTGAGGAAGCTGCTCTCCAGAGCCCTGAGCTTGAAAGAACCTGTGAGCAGGAGCCCGGCAGCTCTGGGGGAAGCATGCCAGGGCCACCTCCTCCCCTGAGTGGCGTCATTCCCCTGTCCGGTGACCTCAAGACCCACAGCTCCTTCTGGAAGCCTTTTCAGTGCCCTGAGTGTGGAAAAGGCTTCAGTCGGAGCTCCAATCTTGTCAGACACCAGCGAACCCATGAAGAAGAGAAATCCTATGGCTGTGTTGAGTGTGGGAAGGGGTTCACTCTGAGAGAGTACCTCATGAAGCACCAGAGAACCCACCTGGGAAAGAGGCCCTATGTGTGTAGCGAGTGCTGGAAAACCTTCAGTCAGAGGCACCACCTCGAGGTCCACCAGAGGAGCCACACAGGGGAGAAGCCCTATAAGTGTGGAGACTGCTGGAAAAGCTTCAGCCGGAGACAGCATCTGCAGGTGCATCGGAGAACTCACACTGGGGAGAAGCCCTATACCTGCGAGTGCGGCAAGAGCTTCAGCAGAAATGCCAACCTGGCAGTGCACCGGCGCGCCCACACTGGCGAGAAGCCGTATGGGTGCCAGGTGTGTGGAAAACGGTTCAGCAAAGGGGAGCGGCTGGTCAGACACCAGAGGATCCACACTGGGGAGAAGCCCTACCACTGCCCTGCCTGTGGGAGGAGCTTCAACCAGAGGTCCATCCTCAATCGGCACCAGAAAACTCAGCACCGCCAGGTGCCCACTGTGCAGTAAGGGCACCCTGGTGAGATGCCCATGTTGCTCATTGAATGTGCTGGAGAAGGTGGGAGGGTGATGCCAGTGGAGGGGGATCCACCTGTACTCACTGAGGGGAACAGAAAGGCATGGGACCCATTTTCTTTCCATTCATTCTCAAACAGGAAAAGGGCAGGGCCTGATTTGAGATTCCAGAGAGTACAGCTCCCTCGTCTCCTACCCAGATGGTGCTTATGCTTTCCCTTGCCATCTTTTGAGGAAACGATATCCAGAGTTTCGGTTCAGGTTGAGGTTTTTCTCCTTCAATGAGATGTTCACATCCACCTCCTGAGCAAGCTGGGGAGTATGGGCAAAATTCTATCCTGTGTTGGCAGCTTAAACTCATTTTTCTGAGGGTTGTATCCACCTGGAATATCATTAGCTCAGACTCCTGCCCGCTGACTCTCTTTTCCATTTAACAAATATTTATTGCACAACAATGACATGCCTGGTGCTGGGAATACAGTGGAGAATGAGGCACTTGAGACCCCATCCTCGTGGAGCTTGTGATTCAGCAGTACAAATCTGCAGGAGCTCTTAAGAGCCATGTTCCATGTTCTGCCTCAGGTCAGTACTATGCCAGAGGATAGCCTTCCTGAGCTGGTTCTGCCACCAGCCTGGGTGCTGAGTCTTCCCCCTCCCCATGTGGGGCTTCAGGCGGCCATGTTTATTTTACCTTATTGTGGCCCTTTGCATAACATTGTACCCTCACCTGTAAAGTTTCCCCATTCCATTATTCTTTGTACTGTTAACAACTGTCCGCACATCTATTAGGAAATAAATATTTTGCTATCGATCACTGAATAAACAGAGTATTTTAAAAAACCTTTAGTTCTGTATAAAGACCTAGTTAAATGAGTCTGAAAGATGGACTAGTTTTAATAACCAATATTTGATGGCACTTTACAGTATATAAAATGCTTTCCTCTGTATTCTCATTTGATTCACTCCATACGTATTTATTGACACCCAGCAGAGTGTCAGGGTCTCCTTAGGTGCTTGCGATACATCAGTGAGTAAAATAGAGGAACATCCCTGACCTTGGGGAACTTATATTTTAGTCAATGTATTTGCTCTTCAGAACCACCCACAGTGGAACCTGTAGATGCTCCCTGAGCCCTCTGGACCTGGGGTCTGAGCATGTGTCTTTGGTCCTGGCAGCTGCTTGCCCTGAAATGCATTTGCCACCTGCCTCTTGTTGCTAAGTAGTCTCTGTCCTCAGCACATCTAGATCCTTGTCATCTGAGAGGTGCTTGGGGTCCTAGACACCAAGTGGAGATGACAAGGTGGTAGCAGTCTGTTATGCATGAATGCCAATTCAGGAAAAATAAACATGTTTGTAAGCATTTAAAAATACATATTTACAAATGAGAAGATGCCGTGTTTGCAACTGTGTTTAAGCTTTCTTGTATTATTTTCCCATCATTAATGTACTCCCTTTCTGTTTAAAATTCTGTAACTGTGTAATGAGCATGGACCATGCCGCAGAGTTGTGATGGTGCGCCTTTGCGTGCCGGCTGCTGAGTGTGTTAGCCTGTCTTGTTGACACTGTACTATAATCACAAGATGTGATTTGTCCTATGGTGCTTCTTAATCTATTCTTTTTCTGAGATTTCCCCCCCATTTTCCATTGTAAATATGATAAATGATAATGCCTTTAACACGGAGAGTTGTGTTACTCAGTCCACTTGGAAATGCATTATTTTATCACCTGTTTCTTGATGGTAGCCATAGTGTTTGATTTAGCAAATGACCTGCTTGTCTCTCAGCTGCCTGCGCGAGGCTGTAATTACCAGGGCTTACATGTGTCTGGGCCATCCGCTATGAAACACAGTAGGATGCTGCCACTTCTCGGCAGTGTCAAGGTCCAGTTGCAGATCAGCTCTTTCCCCTTATCCCACACAAGCCAGGCAAGGTTTACCAGCGCCCCCTGGCAGCCAAACCCAGTGGAAGGCTTTTCCTGCATCTGGCTTCTGATCTGTAGGACATGGGGGCTGACCTGGCTTGGGTCTGGCTTTCCCCAGGAGGTCTGTATCCCGAAGCTAGATGGGGGAATGTTAAGGGCTAGTTGCTCATCAGTGGTCTTTCTGCTTATTGCTTTGATCATATACTTAGCCAAACAGGGCTGTCAAATAGGCCTGTGGGTTTTCAGCCAGTTGGAATCTCTTGAGAGAAGCCTGGGTAGAAACTGGGCCTTGCAATCTTTCCCCTTGGGCTCTACTATCTGCTTTGAAATCAAAGTTTATAGATGATGTCTTGCCAATGGATATCAGCCCTGGGCAAGTTCACTATGGATTCTATATGACCAAAGAAAATGACAGTACAATGTTCTTGGGGTGAAAGGGTTTATTTACCTGGCTTGTTCTCCCAGTGATAGGTCAAGCACTAGCATCTCTGCCTCTGCCCAGAGCACTGGGCCGAGCTCTCTATATAGTGCAATAAGAGCTTATTGCCTACGGGTGTGGAAGCAGTAGCCTAGCAACAGGCCAGTTACATTATTAAGTGGTTTAAGTTCAGTGAGGATCCTGACCATAGGAACCCCAACTTCCCCACACTCCACCCTTCCAGGATTCTCGCCTTATAATCTACATGCTCTCCATCTTCTGCAATGGTCCCTGTGCGAGAAAGCTGGAGCACTGTAACCAGATTTCACAACAGCAACAGAGGCTAACAACAAGTTAGAGATAATAACAAAAGTTAAGATACAAAAGATTTTGATTGAGGTAACAAAAATTTCAATAATCCTCAAGCCAGAGGAGCGTCCAATCCACAAAGACCTTAGGGGTAATAAAACACATGTTTTAATGACACCAACGCAGGCAAATCTTGTCCATGAGGTAGGATGCATGCAAAGGAGTGGTCCTATGATAGGACTGCAGCAGGATGGGGTTCCCGTCCAGGTTTAGTATACCATATTTTTATTCCTCTCCCTGTGGGGGTTACTGAAGGGGTCTATATATAGTGCTACTGGAGATGCATGCACTGGCCATAAAGATAAAACAAAACTCCCTGGTAAGATGCTCCTACCTTCTGGCCATTCAGGATATACTACTGTGACTTTTGGCGGCCACTCTGCTGTTATTCCAGGAATACACAGGAGGCCAGCTTCCAGACCTGGTCCCCAAGGTGCCAGGAGAGCCAGCCATCATTGGTCCATGTGTTGAAATGTCCAAGGCCATGTCCACTCAATGGAGTCTCTGGGGTTCAGTGCAGTTGGTGCTGACAGCAAGATACTACTCTGGTGGCTGAACCTTGGCTTCAGTGATTCTTCCTTGGTTTGTACTTGGCAGGTGTATAGGGGAGGCAGCCATGTGTGTTAACATGTCTGCAGGGCTCAGGGCTCCCTTTCGGGGTCTCGGGTTCAAACGCCATAGCATGGTCCATAAGCGGACTGACTATCCCCGCAGAGTATTGGTATCTGACTTTAGTCTGGATTTTAACAAGCCATTGTGCCTCTCTGTCATGCCTGCTGCGGTAGGATTGTATGGCACATGAAACTTTCATTTGACTCCCAGCTATCGCACCCATTCTTGCAGCATATGTCCAGTAAAATGGGTGCCCCAATGACTCTCAATTACCTGTGGTCAGCCATAGGCAGCAAAGAGATGCTCCAGGCCTCTTTTGGTCATCTGCTGGTCTGCACAATGGGTAGGAAAAGCTACCAGAAGTCCAGTAGCTGTGTCCACACAAGTCATAGTATACCGATATCCTTCTGACACAGGTAAAAGGCCCAATATAGTCTATCTGCCACCTGACTAGGGGTATAGGCCCCTTAGCTATTCTCTCATGTTGCTGTGGAACTTGGTGTAAGTCCCTTTTAGAGCATATGACACACTCCTGCCGGCCTCTTCTAACTTCTTCAAAGGTCAAAGGCAAGCCCCACCGATGGGCTACAGCCCACATTGTCTTTTGCCCCACATGCAGCAAACACTGATGTAACCATTGGGCTACATCAGAGGCAGGCTTTCCTTCTAACCAATGTATCTGGGCCAATTTATCTATTTCATTTCCTGGGAATGCCAGTGGCAAATGACCTGTCACATGGTATACTGTAATTATTTTAGTTTGACCAGAGGCCCATAAGTCTTGCCACAATTCATGCCTCCAAAGGGGTCAGTGACCAACCAGCTATTTGGCATGGTACCAGGTTGGTACCCACAGGGTCAAGCCCCAATAGACAGCCCAGCTGTCAGTGCAGACAACTATAGGGGAGGGCTCCTGGCTGATCACAAGCCACACGGCCTGCAACTCTGCCCACTGGCTGCTCTTTCCCTCACCATCTTCCATCTGTATTGTCTCAGTCTTAGGATGGAAAGCTATGGCCCTCCATTTTGGGGGCTGTTCATAGCTGGAGCCGTCTGTGTACCATGCATCGCTGGGTATAGGGGCTCTTCCCTCCCAACAGGGACTCTCTGCTACTAATGGTTCAAAAGCAAGTTCTTCCTGCTTTTCACTAGTATATGTCACCAGCCCCAATAAGTTCTTCACTCAAGAGGCTACTAGAGAGGGCACTATGCTGCTGTAGGTAAGCACCCCACTTGGCCAGTGTGGGTGTTTGTGCCACACCACTCCTTGGCTTTTGGGTTCAGTCTCGTACCCACCCCAAGGTGGGATAGGTGGTTATTACCTTTATTGGGGCCATTCCAGTGATGGGTTCTGTAGCCAGCAAGGCTTGATAACACAGCAGCCAGTTGTTTTTCTATCAAAGTGTATTGTACCTCTGCCCCTTTCCAGAGTTGTGACCAGAATCCAATAGGTTGGTGAGTATGTTCAAGCTGTTGCCAGAGACCCCAGCCATAACCGACTTTGGTCACATGAACATCCAGCTCATAGGGCCTTGATGGGTCTATCACAAAGCCTGCATGGCCTAGACTGCCCGTTTGCTGTAGTAAAGGCAAATGCACATGTCTCATCCCAGTCCCACCTGACACCTTTTCATACCAACCAGTATAAGGGCTTCAGAATTTGTGCCAAGTGTGGGATAAACACTCTCCAGTAGTCTAGAAGACCCCAAAAAACTGCTGTAATAATGCAACAGTTGTAGGGGTAGGAAAGGCCTGGACTTTATCTGTAACTGCTTCTGGTATAAATTTAGTCTCTCCCAACCAGACAACCCCCAAGAATTTTTCTTTTCTTTTTTATTAAGGTATTATTGATACACACTCTTATGAAGGTTTTACATGAAAAAACAATGTGGTTACTACATTTACCCATATTATCAACTCCCCACCCATACCCCAATACAGTCACCGTCCGTCAGTGTAGTAAGATGCCACAGATCCATTCTGTGCCTTCTCTGTGCTACACTGTTCTCCCCGTGATCCCACACACCATGTGTACTAAACATAGTACACCCCAGTCCCCTTCTCCCTCCCTTCCCACCCTCCCTCCTACACCCCTCCCCTTTGGTAACCACTAGTTCCTTCTTGGAGTCTCTGAGTCTGCTGCTATTTTGTTCCTTCAGTTTTGCTTCGGACAACCCCCAAGAATCTGACAGACAAACCAGGTCCCTGAACCTTGGTACTGTTCGCAGACCATTCTTTCTCCTGTAGATGTTGCAGCAGTCTAGGTGCTGCATGTTCTATGTCTGAAAGAGAATCAAACATGAGTATCATTAATATAATGGTACAGCTTCACTGTTGGTGGTTTCTCCCATGTAGCCAAGTCCTGGGTTACAAGTCCATGACAGATGGTGGGGCTGTGGAGGTATCCCTGTGGAAGGACGGTGAAAGTCCATTGCTGTCCTTTCCACGTGAAGGCAAACTTTTCATGACTTTCCTGCTCAATGTCAGTGGAAAAGAAGGCATTAGCAAGATCTACCACATAATGGTATGTTCCTAGTTTGTGGCTGCGGGTATCCATCAGGCCTGCAATAGAGGGGACAGCAGCATGCATAGGGGGTATGACTTTATTCAGTTCTCTGTAATCCAGTCATATGCCAGGAGCAATTTGGCTTTTTTATTGGCCACACTGGGGAATTGAAAGGACCATGGGTGAGCTTTATAATACCCACATTTTCCAGTGCCTGGAGAGTTTCTCCAATCTCTTTATGCCCTCCAGGCAGTTTGTATTGTTTGGTATTAGTCACCGGCCAATTCGTAGGCAAAGCTACTGGTCAGTGCTTAGCGTGTCTCCTCAGAACTGCCTTCACCACACATACTCTCAGTCTGAACTCACCTGCAGTGGTCTTCAGCCATAGGCCCTGCAGGATATCAATCCCCAAAATATACTCAGGGATAGGAGATATATACACAGTATACTCTTTTGGGGGTAGATGCCCTATTCCCAAAGGGATTTGGGCTTATTTCATTCTGAAAGCCTTACCCCACTATCCATCTATGATAGTGGGGTTCCTGGGGAACTGCTCAGGGTTACATGAATCAGTTAACATCCAGCCCCTGTGTCCACCAGAGCCAGGACACATTGTATGTTCACAGGACCAATGTATAGCTATTTCAACATGTGGCCTTCAGTCCCCCCATGTCCTTCAGGGCAGGTACCTTGACTTTCCCCTCAGTTGAATTGTGTTCCCCAAGCATCTTCCTGTGGTCTCGAGTGAGGTTGCCTCACTCTCCAGCAGGAAGTCTTGCAAACACACAGGCCAGATTTGTGGCTCTGTCTCTGATGTCTATCTCTTTGATTTTAATGGCTGGAACTGCTA